CCGATAATGCGAGTTTTTCGGAGTACTTGGTCGGAATTCGGACAAGGCGGTTATTGGTCTGAGCTCAGCTGATAATTATCCAAGGGAATAAATAGAATAGTCAAGAGAGAAATTATGATAGTCGAGTTGGTTAGTAAAATAGTCGGGAGATTATTGGAAATGGTTGAGCGGGAACGGTTATATCCGAGAGAAATAATTAGGCGCTCGACTATATTGGAGAGAAATAATTATTTACTCGACTATAATAGAGATTAGCTCGGCTATAATAAAGAGAGGGTCGAATTAAATAAAGGGCAACGGTTATTTTATGGAAAGATCTGGTTTATCCGTGAAAAAAGAGCGGGAAACTTATATGGGCGGTTATGGGACGGTTTCTGAAGTATTTTTATCACGGTAATAGTCGGTTTCTAAGGGAGAGAGACAATTTCCGTGAGAACTCATCGAGAGAAAACACAGAATAGCGATTCTGCACAAGATAGCCGAGAGTTTCTCGAGAATAGTCGGAGAGATCCGACGATGGGCGAGTGTATCGCGAATATAGTCGATGTGTGACGAGCGTAGCCAAGAGAATGGAGGATACGATTGGATGGTTTCCGATTCCGTTCGATTTCTTCGAGAGAATACACAGAGAAATGGGAATAAGGGAAGGAAAGAGATTTCAATCGAGGGATATACGAGTTTAGTCGAGCAGGTGTGACAATAGTCGACGGTGATGCGATTATAGCCGAGACGCTGTGGTAACCGCCGAGAGATGCTCGACTATATCCTGGAGAAACGTAACCATCACCGAGAGAATCACAGATATCCGTCAAGTTCCAGGACTGAGAGCAGTAATGGATGTACTTCAATCATGTTGTACACGGGAAACGATTATATCCGAGAGAATCTCTGGAAAGAAGGAGATATCCGAGAGAATCACAGGAAAGAAGGATTTATCCGAGAGAGGGTTAAGTTGTCCGGGGAAGAAGGAAGAACGATCGGATGTCTCGTGATGATAGTCGGGTGATACAGAGATTGGTATAACGATTCGTCACCATATCCGAGAGAAACGGCCTGCATCGGGTTAAAGCTGAGAGGAACGACATACATCGTGATTATATCCGAGAGAAACACTGAAGAGAAGTATTATCGTGAGTATAGTCGATGGTAACGCGACTATAATCGATGTACGTTCGAAGTTAACGAGAGCCGTGTGGCTATAACAGGGAGAAAACGGTTACCCCGTGACAGACTCCAAGAGAAAGTGGTTCTGCCGAGAGAATATCCGACAGAATGTGGGGATTATGGGAGATTGGCGGGGGAGGGGAGGGGGAGGGGGGAGACAGCAGTCGGCCGAGAGAAACAGTTCAGTCAAGAGAATCCCCGAGAGATTCTACACGGTTCATGACATATCTCGGTAATAGTTAAGCGGTTTGATCAATGGTCGGGAGAAACATGATTCCAGCCGGGAGAAGTATGGCTACAGCCGGGAGACTTGGAATGGAATAGACTACAGCCGGGATAAATGTGACTGCATGCGACAGTTGCATGACTGGAATGACTGGCGATTTGACCGTGAATGGGCTGGCTGGCGTGCAAAGTATCAAGGATCCAAGCCTCCTCTCTTTGTTTCTTGGTCATGTGGTGATGGTTGGTTGAGTGACTAAGTAACAAGGGGAGATGTGTGTTCGGATTATTGAATTGATGGCTTAGGAGAATTGGCTGATCATGGAGACTACAATTAGTCCATCCGATATCTGCAAATGGCTAAAATACCTGTATAGCTGGCTAAGTGTGGAATGAGATAATGGTTTAGAACTGTTAAGTTGATGGGTTAGATGGATAGGAACTGTGGAACCTCGTTAAGTAAAGGTAATTTTAAAAATACCCAAGTCTGACCAGGAAGTGGTCCGATAAATCCTTAGTGCGGTAAGGCAATCTGGGTCAGGGAATTTCAATTTGGTATGACTTCTTTCGTACTCTGTTTCATTCTTCTGGATCTGACTTCTCGGCTTCGGGGCCAGTACACGTGATGGTCTCGAAGCCTTGAGTTTTGTTGCGTAGAATCGTGGCTTGCGGGCCTTCTACGTTTTTCGTATAGTTGGGCCGTGTAGGCCGCTTCCTTCAAGGAACACTCGTCGGTGATCCCCTCGCCTTCTAGCGCCAATTGTTTATGAGCAAATTTTGGGATGCCACATGGGAGTGTGTGATTCTTCCGGGGAGTGGAGTCATGCCTCTGACTTTCGTCATCTGGTGGGGAAAGGCGACGAGTCGTTCCAGGGCGGAAGCCTTCTCGAGTCCTGATAACGGAATGGTCACCATGCGGGATCCTGCAAACACTACATAAGAGGTCAATCGAGCTTTTGGGAGGACCGAAGGGGGATTTTTTTGACGTCCAAGTCAATGAACGTCCAACCGGGAACAAATACTCGGGAAGGCATTTCTACGGGTTTGGGATGAGAAATCTCGTCCAGAGATCGAGACAACTGTTTGTTTGGTGTTTTATGGGGTAAACAAAATATGGAAGGAAGGAGTGTGACCAGTATCAAGGCAAGGTTCCGGGTCGAGAGTGACTTATCCTGGTAGGCATTCACTTGGGAGAACAAAGTGTTCCCCCTCGATTGTGCTGCTTGCCAGAGCTGGTTAACATGGTATTGGTCGGTTATCTCCTCCTTCAGAGGGGTTTCAGATATGCTGATCCCCCCCCCCCTCTTTCTAGTGTGGTGATCTCTCTACTTTTATACTAGTGGTTTCATCGTCCTATGCTCTCCATCCGGCGCTAGGGGAGCAGGTGGGATGATGATTCTTGCGTGTTTGGGGAGACTCGCCAACTGCCCTTAAACAGTATGTGGGAGGGGTTCGGCCAAGCTAGTGTGACGTGTGGCAGTGTCTAGAGGTTTTTAGTGACTATGTGTCGGTCTCCTTTGGACCTTGTAAAATCGGTCCCAACAGATACAGTTTTTGTTTGTTACTCTATTTTTATTCTTTTTATCTAAAATATAAGACCTACTTTTTCACATAATAATTAAAATAAATTGTATATAGAAAGAATTTAAAGTAGGACAATTTCTATAATTACACTAAAAACAAGTTTTCAAGAAAAATATAACAGGGAAGCTAAAAATTTTCATCTCTAACATTTTTCATTTGAGTTTTCTGATTTTATCCTTTAAGAAGGTCTTCCTAAATGTTTTTTTTTCTTTCTATTAATGTTTCGTGATTTTTTAGGAAGGTCTTCCAAATACTATAATTTAACATCGTTTCATATGATTTCAGAAAGTTTTCCTAATTTTTGAAAAAATTCCTGAATTGTGGAAGCCTTTCTGAATTTTGGAAGAGTTTCCTGAATTGTGGAAAGACTTCATGAAAGGGCTTCCTCAATTTGAATTGTATAAATTAACAAAAAAAATCAATTATATGATTTACTTAATTTATACATTTAAGTAAAGTCTTCCTAAACGTTTAGAATATCTGTCTAAATTTACTCTCATCTACTTTCTCACTTCTGCGACACCTAAATCCTAATTTCCGCCGATTTTCTTTTTTCACCATTTTTGTTGTTTTAGCTTAGATTTCTTGAACTTTTCACCCAATTATATCAGATCTATCTTCCGCTATATTATTTTGAGCTTTAATTTATGAAATCACTTTCCCATCAAAAAAACCTCAAAAATCTAAAAGATTCATAATCAAACAAGAAGAGCAATCCTAAAGAAAACAAAGAATTCGAATTTCAGATTAGTCTTGGCCATTGATACTTTTATTAATTATTCTTCTTTTTTATTAATTATTTTTTTTTCTAACTAAAATTAATATGGTCAAGTCTTTAGTGAAAAATGTTATGGAATGAATTTTTTATATTCTATATTAAGAACAAAAAATTAGATTAGGTACATTTGCGGGAATTTCTCTTTAAAGTAATACAGCGTAATCACCGTTACACTAATAATTGTTCTTTTCTTATTTCATTTGCACCTATAATCTTTTCTTTAGTAATAAATAAATAAAAATTATGCTAACTACGTAAATCACATAAAAAATGCGCATCTTATTTATAATTATGTGATTTTATAATGGTGTTTTTTGCCAATTTTTACATATATTTTAGTTAAGGTAATTTTCATAATTACATTGAAAACAAGTTTTCAGGACAAATATAACAGAAAAGCTAAAATTTTTCCACCCCTAACATTTTTCATTTGAGTTTTTCGATTTTAACCTTTAGGAAAGTTTTCTTAAATATTTTTTTTTTCTGTTATTGTTTCATGATTTTAGGAAGGTCTTCCAAATATAATAATTTAACATCATTTCATATGATTTAGGAAAAGTTTCCTAATTTTTTTTAAAAAATTACCTGAATTGTGAAAGGGATTCCTGAATTGTGGAAGGGTTTCTTGAATTCTAGAAGGGTTTCCTGAATTTTAGAAATGCTTCCTCGAAGGGCTTCCTGAATTTGAGTTGTAAAAAATAACAAAAAAAAAAATCAATTATACGATTTAAGAAGACATTCCTAAATATATGTAATGACTTCCTTAATTTATAAATTTTAGGAAAGTCTTTGTAAATCGTTAGAATATCTTCCTAAATTTACTCTCATCTCCTTCCTCACCTCTGCGACATCCAAACCCTAATTTCTGCAGAATTTTTTTTTTAACCATTGTTGTTATTTTAGCTCGGACTTATTGAGCTTTTCATCTAATTATATTAGATCTATCTTCCACTATATGATTTTGTCTAAATAAGGTTAATATGGTCAAGTCTTTAGTAAAAAATATTATGTAATGAATGTTTTAGAGTGTTAGTGTATATTAGGAACAAAAATTTAGATTAGGTGCATCTAAGAGAATTTCTCTTTTAAGGTCTAAAGATGTATATAACACATATTTCAAGAAATAATGGTTAGCTAAACACCTAAAAAAAAATTGTTATTGATCTATTAAAAGAAAGAAGACCAAAAATAGAGACGAAAATGTTGTTGTTTGACTAGTTGAGCAGAGAGGATGATACGGAATACCACCAACTTTGAATCCATTTCCTTTTTCCACATATGGCTATGTATGTATTTCTGCAAATTCACTAAAACAAACTTTTCAAACAATTCAATTTTTGATAGGAGTTGCAGAAAATGGCTGAGGAAAACAGCACGGACACTTCAATAATATGTTATGCGCCAAGCATGATCACCACAAATGGAGTTTGGCAAGGCGACAATCCTCTGGATTTCTCCCTCCCTCTCTTTGTTCTTCAGCTTACCTTGGTTGTTGTCATCACTCGTTTTTTTGTCTTTATACTCAAGCCCTTTCGCCAACCTCGTGTTATCTCCGAGATCCTTGTCAGTAAGCCATATATTCTTTTTTAATTTTCCTTCGTGTTGCAGATTTATTGAAATGACCCATATTGAACGTGGAGATGCTTCAACTTTAATATATATATGTATATAAAAGGTTTTAGCTTTTTTTATCAAATGTAAAATTAACACAATAAAAAACTTTTTTACAAATTAATACACCTTTTGTTTTTTTTTTAAAAAATGACCTTCACACATTTAATTAAGAACAAACCAAGTCTCCATACCTTGGCTGAATTTTCATCTCTTTTGCTATGGATTTTAACCTTTGTATTTATTGTTAGTTGGTTTTGAGATGCTACTATTTTAGTTTTTCAGAAGATTATCCTATAACATATCTTTGATCTTAATTGACAGGGTGGAATCGTGCTAGGGCCATCAGTGCTTGGGCGCTATGAAAAGTTTGCAAATACCATATTCCCTCAAAGAAGTGTGATGGTACTTGAAACAATGGCTAATGTTGGTTTACTATACTTTCTTTTCCTGGTGGGTGTAGAGATGGACATTATGGTGGTCCGTAAGACAGGGAAGCGAGCACTAACAATAGCTATTGGTGGTATGGTCTTGCCATTCCTCATTGGCGCTGCTTTCTCTTTCTCTATGCATAGATCAGATGACCATTTAGGGCAAGGCACATACATACTCTTCCTCGGTGTAGCTCTCTCTGTTACTGCATTCCCTGTCCTTGCAAGGATTCTTGCTGAGCTAAAGCTCATCAATACTGAGATTGGTCGGATATCAATGTCTGCAGCCTTAGTCAACGACATGTTTGCTTGGATTCTTCTCGCCTTAGCCATCGCATTAGCCGAGAGCGACAAAACTTCATTTGCCTCCCTTTGGGTCATGATCTCTAGTGGAGCTTTCATTGCCTTTTGTGTCTTTGTTGTGAGACCTGTCATTTCTTGGATCATACGGAAAACCCCTGAAGGAGAGAACTTTAGTGAGTTCTATATATGTCTCATCTTGACAGGAGTCATGATCGCAGGTTTTATTACTGATGCAATCGGAACTCATTCAGTCTTTGGAGCTTTTGTGTTTGGTCTTGTGATTCCCAATGGACCTCTTGGTCTTACCCTCATCGAGAAACTTGAAGATTTTGTTTCTGGACTTCTCCTACCTCTCTTCTTCGCCATAAGTGGTCTTAAAACTAATATATCTTCCATTCAAGGCCCTGCCACTTGGCTTACTCTGATGCTTGTTATCTTCCTCGCTTGTGCTGGAAAGGTTATCGGTACTGTTATCGTTGCATTCTTCCATGGAATGCCAGTTTGTGAAGGAATCACTCTTGGCCTACTCTTAAACACCAAAGGTCTAGTTGAGATGATAGTCCTCAATGTTGGAAAGGACCAAAAGGTTTTAGATGATGAGACATTTGCTACCATGGTACTTGTAGCCTTAGTTATGACTGGAGTCATAACTCCTATTGTAACTGTTCTCTACAGGCCAGTAAAACGTTCTGTATCTTACAAACGACGAACTATTCAACAGACAAAGTCAGACAGCGAGCTTCGAGTACTAGTATGTGTCCACACACCGCGTAATGTACCTACTATAATAAACCTTCTTGAAGCTTCACATCCTACAAAGCGATCTCCCATATGCATCTACATTCTCCATCTTGTTGAGCTCACAGGTAGAGCATCTGCAATGCTGATTGTCCATAACACTCGAAAATCTGGACGACCAGCGCTTAACAGAACACAAGCTCAATCGGATCACATCATTAATGCCTTTGAGAATTATGAACAACATGCTTCTTTTGTTGCTGTTCAACCTTTAACAGCTATTTCACCTTATTCTACAATGCACGAAGATGTTTGTAGCTTGGCAGAGGATAAACGTGTCTCTTTTGTAATCATACCATTTCACAAACAACAAACTGTGGATGGAGGAATGGAAGCAACAAATCCAGCTTACCGTTTAGTTAATCAAAACCTTCTTGGAAACTCGCCTTGCTCTGTTGGAATACTCGTAGACAGAGGACTCAATGGTGCCACGAGATTGACGTCAAACACTATCTCTCTCCAAGTTGCTGTACTGTTTTTCGGCGGTCCAGACGATAGAGAAGCTTTGGCATATGCTTGGAGAATGGCTGAACATCCGGGCATTACTTTATCTGTGTTGCGGTTTATTCCTGATGAAGCTATAACAGAAGCAACTTCGACACAAGCAACCAATGAAACTGATGGGAAGATGAATCTGGACTTGAAAAAGGAAAGACAACTTGATAATGACTTCATCAATACTTTCAAGGAAGCAAACACGGATTACGAGTCAATTCTTTATATCGAAAAAGTAGTTAGCAATGGAGAGGAGACGGTTGCAGCAGTAAGATCAATGGATAGCTCTCATGATCTTTTTATAGTTGGAAGAGGAGAGGGAATGTTGTCTCCTCTCACTGCGGGTTTAACTGATTGGAGTGAGTGTCCTGAGCTCGGTGCCATTGGAGATTTACTTGCCTCGTCAGACTTTGCAGCCACGGTTTCGGTTCTTGTGGTTCAGCAGTATGTTGGGTCATGGGCACAAGAAGATGAGATGGAATTGCCTGATACTCCAGTAAACTCACATGACCAACAAAAGACCACAAATGGTTTAGAGAATCCACGTTAGCGAATATTGAGATTTTGTGTATTAATTCTTGTTTTTTTATATATTTTTTTATCATGCTAAGTTTCCTCTTCTGAGTTTGGTCGGGACTTTGGTTTTCGAGAAAAGGTCATTTTTTTTGTTTCTGTGAAACCCTATGGTTGGATTTATGGCGATATCATCATCTGGCTCCGTAGATTCAATCAAAGATACTTGCTCAGATCTCGTCCTTCCTTCTCACCACACAAGCTTTTTTATCTTTATTATCTCCAAAAGATGGATGAATCTGTTGCAACTAATATTTTTTATTTATGTATCTTTCATATTATTATATCTCGAGAGAGAGGATGATCTTCAAGATAGCTTCGAAGATTTTTTGGATTAAACATTTTTCTCACTAAAATGTTTTGAACATTATGTTTAGTTTTCTTGAATATCTTTGTATATAGATGTATATAAAGCAAAATTCACATCGGTTTATTGGTTCTAAATTGATATAGTGTTGGGATTTCACTTATGTAAACTCTCAAGAACAAAGAATTATTATTGAATGAAAAGAATAATCCCTCGAATTACAAAGATGATCTCGGTCACACACGACCTTGATCGTGACAACACACGATCAAAAGAATGCTCACACACAACTATTTATAAAGTAATTTCTGGATAAAGCTGAAACACATACATTTCCTCTATTTATACGATCCACTTTAGTATTCACATTTCTTCTTCATTGCTGACTCACCCGCCAGCTCAGGCTTTGAGTCTTTTATCACCTTCACGTTGACTCGCTTCCTCCTCACTCTCGTTCTTTTTCCTCTTGCGATAATAAGTCTGATAAATCATATCAATACTCCCCCATGTGAGACCCAGCTTGCCCTCAAGCTTGTAATGTGGAAATTGTTGAATGAAATCACGAGATAATATCCAAGAATCATCGTGTTCAGGGCAATTCTTCCAGCGGACCAACAGTTCAACGCCACCAGTAGCATTATGATGAGTAGCTAACACTGATATTGGCTCGATGATAACATTCTCCAGATCAACACATGTGGGTGGAGCACTCTGCACCACCTGGCCCTGACCCATCATCTTCTTCAACTGCAATACATGAAACACTGGGTGTATCTTGGACTCGGGAGGTAAATGCAAGCGATAAGCAACTTGACCAATATGTTCCATGATCTCATATTGTCCAAAGAATTTGGCTGAATGTTTTGTCCAGAATTGCTTCACCACTGAACTTTGGCGATAAGGCTTGAGTTTTAAGTAAACTAAATCACCAACTTTGAACTCAAGCGCACGTTTATGCTTATATGCCTGTCTTTTCATTAACTGTTGTGCACGTGCTAGATGCATCTTCACTTGTACCAGCACATCACATTCACGAAGAGACTCCTCTAATTCAAAGTTTTCTGTAGAACCCACTTCAAAGGGAACTATCACTGGTGGTTTTGTGCCATAAACCACGGTGAAAGGAGTAGTTTTCAGGGATGTGTAAAAGGATGTATTGTACCACAGCTCAGCCCACGCCAAGAACTTGTACCATGTACAAGGATGTCCTGAAGCGAAACAACGAACGTAAGTTTCAACGCAACGGTTAAGGACCTCTGTTTGACCGTCTCTCTGTGGATGAAAGACAGTGCTGTACTTCAGCTTTGTCCCTGAAAGGCGAAATAGATCCTTCCAAAAGTTGCTCAAGAAGATTCTATCTCTATCCGAGACAATAGATTTTAGAAATCCGTGCAGTTTAACTATCTCCGACATGAATATATTGGTGACATCCACAACTGTAAACAGATGTTTCAACCCACTGAAATGACCATACTTGCTCAAGCGGTCCACCACTACTAAGATGACATTGATACCTTGAGATGTAGGGAGTCCTTCAACAAAGTCCATGGCCACGTCTTCACAAACACTCTTGGGTATTGGTATCGGTTGAAGCAGAGCTGTGGGTGATAGAGTTGAGTCCTTGTGTGTCTAACATACGTCACACTCTGCCACATACTTGTGAACCCTTTTCGTGAGGCCCTCCCAGTGAAACAGCGTCTGAATTCTCTTTACTTTTTTTCATACGCCAGAGTGGCCACCCACCTGCCATCATGACACTCATTAAGTAGCAATGGTATGAAGACAAATGTTTTTGGAATCACCAGTCATTTCTTATACCAAAATTTCCCATCAATAACATTGTAATGTTTGTTCTGGAGTTGTCCTTGTAGCACTTTTTGCAATAAATTTTGAATACTCATATCCCCACAGATTTCTTTATACAACTCCTGCATTTGTATGACTGAGGGAACTGTCAACGCTAGCAAAAGCGAGCTCGAATCACTTCTTGTACCAGATTCAATCCTAGATAAGCCATCACCAGCTTTGCTCTCATATCCTGGTTTGTAGAGAATCTCAAAATCATACCCCAACAGCTTAGTTAACCACTTCTAATATTCCATGTTAACTTCTTTTTGTTCCAGTAAAAATTTCAAACTCCTCTGATCTATATGTACCACAAAACGTCTTCCCAGATGATATTGTTTCCATTTCTGCACTGCCATTACTATGGCCATTAGTTCTCTTTCATACGCTGGTTTTGATTGTTCTTGTGGAGTAAGTCCATGGCTGAAGAATGCATTATGTCTTTTGTCTTGCAATAATACTGCTCCGACTCCAAAACCTGAAGCATCTGATTCCACTATAAACTGTTTAGCAAAATCTGGTAAAGCCAACAATGGAGCCGAGAACATTGCAGACTAGATTTTGTCAAATGCATGTTGTGCTTCACAGGACCACTTAAACTTAACCTTTTTCAATAACTATGTAAGTGGTCTCCGCAATTATGCCATAATCTCTAACAAAGCACATGTAGTATCCTGTCAAACCTAGGAATCCTCTCAACTATTTCACTGTCTTTGGTGTTGGCCAACCCCGCATAGCGTTTGTTTTTAGAAAATCTGTAGCCACCCCCTCCTCTGAAATAATATGCCCCAAGTACTCAAACTGTGACTTACCAAACTGGCACTTCTTCTTATTCCCAGCAGTTTCTGGTCTTCAAAGATACATAGCACAGTTGATAAGTGTGCCTTGTGATCCTCAACACTGCAGATGTACACCAGAACATCATTGAAGAACAATAATACGAACTCACGGAGATAAGGTTTGAATATTCTGTTCATCAATGCTTGAATGTTGCTGGAGGATTAGTTAAACCGAATTGTATAACCAAGAATTCCTAGAGGGCCCTCAACAGTACGAAAAGCAGTCTTGGCAATATCCCTTTCTTCCATCCTTATCTGATTGTAGCTAGAGCGTAAATTCAACTTTGAGAAGACTATGGCGCCATTGAGTTCATCCAGTAACTGATCAATGACTGGGATTGAAAACTTGTCGGGGATTGTAGCATGATTTAAAGCTCTATAATCCACAGAAAATGTGATACAAGCTCAGAGTGGTGGTCGGCTTAGTATGTCCTCAGGTACGAGCGTGGGATGATCAGTCAAGGCTGAGTGGGGAATGGCGGGTGCGGGTGGTCTTGTAGCCGAGATACTCAGGACACAAGGACACGGGACGATGGAATGATTGAGCGGGACGGTTACTCAGCCATGGGACGGGACGAGTGGAACCAGTGGTCGAGCAGGATGAGAGATTTGGTCGAATAATCGAGATACTAAGACGGTCTGATAGGGTCGAGCGAGATGAATAGATTAGAACCGTGCGGATCGATGTGTACCACAAAGGCAATGAAAACTCCCTTGATACAACATGTAACTTATCTATGGTTTTGGAGGTACTGTTCTCAACAAACCATGAGAAAGAACACAAGATTTTGATGTAATCTTAGTGAAGAAAAATTGGGTATTTTATTAGAAAATCAAAGGTGAAAAGGTTACAAGCTGCATATGGAACCTTATAAACTGGTTCTTCAGACAAAAGCAATAAAAAAAAATAAAAAAAAATACATAAATGCATAAGAAAATTACATTGAATACTAATGTAAATTAACGACTAGTTTAAGCTGCAAAAGAGATAGAAATCATTAGTCAAAATGTGATGAAAATAATTGTAAACACTTACCTTGTTTATTGGCATGGTTTAACTCTGAATGATTCGTCCTTTTAATATCTCTTTGACCGTGATGATAAGCTTTTATGGGTCTTGGGCTTTGCTTGAAACAATAAAGAGCCGTTTTGTTTAGATAATAAGGGTCATGCTTCTTGTAACTCTTTAACTCTGAATGGGCCTTTTCTAGCTTTAACGCCTTCTTGAAGTTCTTGATCATCAGCTTGGTGGGCGGCTAGCATGATAGCTTGGTTATACTTGTGTTGTAGCACTCTTACTCTTTCTCTTGTAATGGCTCCGGTTGGTACTTTAATCACTTGGGGTTCGGTTAAGTTCGGTTCTTCTTGGATATCATCGTCATTCCCTCCCCTTGAATAGGTTTTGACCTTAAAACAGGATCATTTGGAAGTTCAAGGCGGTAAGCGTTGCCATTGATCTTCTCAAGGATTTTCAATGGGACTTCTCCTTGTTGCTTAAGCTCTGAGCTCCTTTGGTTTGGAAAGCTTTCCTGCCTCATATGTAACCAAACCCACTCGCATGGTTCAAACACAACTTCTTTGCGTCCCTTGTTGGCGTGCTTTGTATACTGTTCTGTCCTCTTTTCCAAGTTCTCTTTAGCTTTCTGGTGTAGTTTCTTGATAAACGCTGCTTGCTCTTCTCCTACTAGACTTACTGGTTCGGCTGGTGGTAATGTTTTAAATCTAGAGGCGTCGTAGGGTTGAGTCCATAGACTATCTCAAAATAGGACATCTTAATGGTTGAATGTTGTGCCCAGTTGTAAGCAACTCTATGAAGGGTATACATTCAAGCCAATTCTTCAAATTCTTTCCAATAGTAGCTCTTAACAAGGCTGATAAGGTCCGGTTGACTACTTCTGTTTGGCCATCTGTTTGAGGGTGACATGTTGTAGAAAACAAGAGCTTTGTCCCTAACTTCTTCCATAAGTTTCTCCAGAAATGGCTGAGAAACTTTCTATCTGGATCTGAAACGATTGTTCTTGGTACTCCATGTAATCTGACTATCTCCTTATAGAACAAGAGAGCCGTTTGAGAAGCATATTCACCTTGGCACATGGTATGAAATGGGCCATTTTCGTAAAGCGGTTTACCACCACCAATATGGAATCCTTGCTACAAATCTTTGGTAGTCCAAGTACGAAATCCTTGGAGATATCCACCCAAGGTGCTGTGGGGATGGGTAAAGGTAAGTATAACCCGTGAGGGTGTACTTTAGA